CTCCTACATGGTTGCATCTTGAGTTGGCTCCAGAACCTGTGTTTCAGGTGGGTGGGGCTGCTTGGGGGCTGGTGGGAAGAGTCTTCCAGGTAGGGAGTGGGGCAAAGATGGAGCCACTGTGGCTGAATTCTCAGTGAGTCTCCCTGGAGCCTGAGCCCAGTGCTCTGGACTGTGAATTACACCCGAGACTTGGGCCACTTTTACTCCACACTGGCCAGTCCTGGGTGGCAGGGACTGACGAGGGCTCTTTCCTGGAGGAGGGGCAGCTGTGAGCTGGGGGACAGTGACCAGCTGTGAAGTTGGCTTGGTGGAGCAGCACCAATAGTGAGGGTGGCTGGGGGTCTGGAACCAAATTGGAAATAGAGAGAGGAGGAGCTGAGAGCAGAATCAAGTTGGGAGGAACTTGAGGAAGGGTCTAGGGTCCAGGGACCACCAAGCCTAGCCACCCTCTGTGATTTTTTAAATTTCTTTTTATTTTATTTTAAGAGTTTGTTTTACATTCAACATTACATGTACATTTAGTTTCACTCCCCATTTACCATGTCCAACCCTAACCTAGTCTCCTCCCCTCCCTGCACAGTAGCCCTCCCCCCGTGCCCCTCATAGTTATGCACTCCTGTTTGTCCTGCATTTCCTCTGTGTGAACGTTGACCCTCTGGTGCCCCACGGTCAACTGCTCCAAGGGATGCCTTTCCATAGTGTATGTGGGTGTGTCACCCTGGGTTGAGTGGGCTGCATGTACATCTTATTTACTATTGGGCTGAGAGCCAGTCCCTGGGAGTGAGCTTTATTCAAGGCCCAGAATGTATTCTGGAGCCATAGTATTGGGGATCTTACCGGACTCCATCTGACCATTAATGCTGGACATTACTGAGTTTTTGAATTTTGATCCACATTTTCCCCCCCATTCTATCCCAGATCTTCAGAGTTGATCCTTTCTTGAGCAATTGGCATAGGTACCCAGGCACCATCTAGTTCTTCTGGTCTTGAGGGCCATCATGCTCTAGGGCTGATTGCTTCCAAATGCCCTTGTTTTTTGCACTCTTCTTCACTTCTGATGATAGGAGACCATTAGGTGTATCTTAGATGGCTGCTTGAAAGTTTTTAAGACCTCAGTCACTACTCACCAACGTAAGATGAGGAACAAGGCTTTTATGTATTTTGTTGTGCCAATTGAGTCTGGTGTCCCCCAGTACTATGGTCCTAAGTTGTTGATCCATTGGATCTCTCTCCCACAGCATCTGGGTGTCTGTGAGGGATTAGGCTATGTCTGTCGTCTGTTGTTTCTGTAAGGATTACAGGTATTTTGTATCACTGGTATCTGTGCAAGATTAGCCTCCACTGAATCTATCATTGGTCTAGAGTATACTTCTGTTCACTGACCCCCATCTGATCATCTCAGGTGTTTTAGTGTTTATCTGTAGCCTGGTGTTTGGTGTTGATGATAATGCAGTATTGTGGACACACTGATTGGTATTAGCATCTGTCGTCTCTCTCCTATGTGCAGAATTCCGTGTCCTCCTTTTCCTAATGTTATCATGGGGGTCACAGACTTTTTCCATATATCCCTCCCCTTACCCACATCAGCATGTGGGCCCCAACTAGCCCAAAATTAATACCTCCCCTTCCCTCCCCACCCCGGTAACCTACAAAGTGAGTTCCCTTTCTCAAGTAAACCCTTCTTTGTCATTTTACAGTAATGGGCTCATATGGTATGTGTCTTTCTGCTATTGACTTATTTCACTCAGCATAATGTCCTCCAGGAGCTCTGGTAGCATAGTGGCACAGGCACTTGACTGCTAACCAGAAGGCTGGCGGTTCAAACCCACCAGCCACTCCTCGGAAGGAAGATGGGGCAATCTACTTCCGTGGTGATACTGCCTCGGAAACCCAAGGAGGGGTCACTATGAGCCGGGGCCGACTCAGCTGCACATAACAACAACAACAACAACAATGTCCTCCAGCCTCATCCACGTTGTGAGATGATTCACGTATCCCTCATTGTTCTTTAATGGAGCATAGTATTCCATTGTGTGCATGTACCATAATTTGGTTATCCACTCATCTGTTGATGGGCATTTAGGTTGTTTCCATCTCTTTGCTATAGGGAATTGTGCTGCGATAAACATAGGTATACATATGCCTGTTCGTGTGCTACCTCTCACCTCTGTAGGATATATTCCTAGTAATGGAACACCCTCTGTGAATTTGGACACCTGTGTGGTGTGTTCACTGGGTAAGGTCCTACGAAGAGACACAGTTGAGCTCATGCTGGACTGCAAATCTCCAGCCCTGGGCCCCTAGACCAAGGCTCCTCCTCCCAGTGACACTGTATATCATGTGTATCATGTGTGTTTCATGTATGTATGTATGTGTATTGTATGTGTTCATGGTGCATGTGTGCATGCATAGGTGTAATGTGTCATAGTGTGCTTATATGCACATGTGTGTGCATTGCATGTCTGTGTGCATGTACAGTGTTGTGGTGTGTACCTGTGTGTATGTATTTGTGTTTGTGTGTCATGTGTGTTGATGTGTATGTGTGTGCATGTGTGTGGGTGTGTGGTATGTGGATATGTGTGTACATGCATGTGATTTTATATCTCTGCATATGTGTATAAGGTGTGTTCACGTAAGTGTGTATCATGTGTGTGCATGTGCATATGGTACATGTGTAGAAAGTTGGGCTCAGTATGACTTCCTGGCTGGAGATGGCAGCGGTACCTGGGATGCGTCTGCCACCCCTGGCCTGTGTAAGTGTGTATCATGTGTGGTGTGGTGTGTGTGTGTTACGGGTGGTGAGAGTTAGGCTCAGTGTGACTTCCTGGCTGAGGATGACAGCAGTACCTGGGATGTGTCTGCCACCCTTGGCTTGTGTAAGTTGCTCTTTAACTCACCAGGTGCCACCAAGGTGCCTGGGAAGGTGGGGGTCATACTGCAGTTCTGAAGCTTTAAGTGGATGGACAAGGATGCAGAGATGAGCTCCCAGGATTTTGCACTCAGGCCAATGCTGTCAAACCTCATGGAGAAAGTAACTCACACAGGCCTGTTGGACTGTGATGGACAGCCCTGCTCCTACTGAGTATTTTGTCTCAGGCCCATCCCTGGGAGGCCTCTGAGCCACATAGCAAGCTGGGGATGCCCTTGGCCATACCCCAGACTAACCTGACTTCCTTTGAAGCAGATCAGAAGAAGAGGCCCCTGGTCTACTTCCTGCCACCCTGCCATGCTCAGACCTCTTCCAATGGCATTAACTGCGGACCTGTGGAGTGGATGCTGCCCTCCCCACAGCACAGCTGTCTGCCCCCCCACCCCGCTCCACCCCACAGAGAGCAGATCTGCGTGGCCCTTAGGACTTGGGTTGGCTGATTGCCAACAGTGGAGCTCTCATCTGAGAGTGTCTCACAGAGGATCTGTGGTGTCCGAGGGAAGGGGTCGTATTTCCACACCAGGTTTTATGTTCCCACCACCTGTACTTGCACTGGCAAATTCACACAGTAGCTGTGTTGTGCTTTATAGCACAGCATACTCACCTTCAGCTTTATACTCCACAGAAACTTCTGCCAGTGGCCCATGCTGTAAAATCTCGAGGTCCCCTGTGGCTTGAGAGGTTGAGTACCTCCTGCTGGCTCCTGGAGGCAAGTGTAGAAAGGACCCTGGCACTGGGCCAGGCTTGGTTTCAATGTGCAGACCCTGGCCCTCCATCCCCACATGGGGCCTGTGCACCTGCCCCTCCTAAATCTTTCCCTGTCTGAAGAAGGGAGCTGCTGGGAGCAAGGAGATATTGGGTCTTGCCTGGTTCTCCCTATGGCGGGATGGACTTTACTAGAATAAGCAAGTCCCCGTTCTGATCCTACTGCACAGGTGGTGGAAGTGAGACTGGTGTGTGTGTTGGGGGGGACTTCCTCAGAGTCACTGGAAGGTCAAGAGAAGGTCAGGTGGAGGTTGGGCATGACAGCCAAGACCCCAGGCCAACTATGGCCACTGTCTTTGGCTCCTGCTCTTCTGAAACTGGTCACAAAGCTGATCTCTGAGACTATGAGGGGCCCAGAGAATACAGAGGTCCCCAAGTCAGTTTCTTTGAGCTTAGAGGCTTCAAACAATGCACAGTATTCCCTCACAGCACTGGACGTCAGAGTCCAAAACCAGCCTCCCTGGGCCAGACCAAAGTCCGCAGAGCTGGTTCCTTCACAAGGCTCCAGGGGACAAGCCACTTTCTTGCTAAGACAAGTGGGGGTGAAACCCACAGCCAGAGGGATGCTTGGGTGGGCTTGGTTAGCTCTGATCACGGCAGTCGAATCCAACTCCTCTGGGTATTTCCAGTTCACTGGGATCTGTCTTCTCTCCCAAGGACTTTTCCTTTGTTTCTTTTTTGTAATTTTTAACCTTTTCTCCTCCCAGATGACATTCTACAGATAGGGCACTTGAAAACTGTATTCTTTCCAGATACTTTAGATTCACATACCTGAAAATATAAAACCCAAAACTCACATCTTTGCACCTCCAAAAACGAACCACAACTGGGCTGAAATTGCTAATTACACTAGTCTGTTTCAGTTTTCTGCTGCTGGAGGGGAGGGGAGTATGCTGTGGCCGTAAGTCCTCCTGGACCCCAGACACTCCTCCTGCACATACAGAGCCCTGCGGGGACATTGCAGAAGCCACTCTCTAAGCTGTGCAGTTCCAGCATCCCAGGCAAGAGGTTCGGCAAAGGGTCTGCAGCTGGCCGGGGCTGTCATTAAACCAGAGCCAGTCGGGGCTCTGCATCACACTCCAGATCTGCTCAAGCTCTTGGCTCTGCTGGGCCTTGGTTCCCTTCTGGTGTCGGTGGGCATCGTAAGTCTACCAGTTACTCAGATGAGATAGAGTCGTCATTAGTATTCACACTTTACATAAATACCCCTTCGTGAGCATCTCAGTCCTGGGACTTTTTCTGGTTCATGTAACTTTGTAACTCAATGTCTTGGCCACTGACTGAGATGCACTTCTACTTAAAACAGGTGCGTGGTCTGGACAGGTGATGACCGGGTCTTCTTCTTCAACCCAACAATGCAGCTCTCTGTCTGGGAGAAGCCACTGGACCTGAAGAACCGTGGGGACCTCAACAGGATCATCGAAGACCCTCCCCACAAGCGGAAGCTGGAGGCATCAGCAGGTAACTACCATGGGGCTATTTGTTCCCCATTGATTAAGTGTCAAAGTCTCTGGGTGGAATAATGGTTAGAGTTCTCGGCTGCTAACAGACAGGTTGGAGGTCCAAGTCCACCCAGAGGCCCCTCAGAAGAAAGGTCTGGTGACCAACTTGTGAAAAGTCAGCTGTTGAAAACCCCGTGAAGCCCAGTTCTCTGACCTTGTGAGGTTGCCAGGAGTCAGTCAACTTGATGGAACTCATTTGGTGCAAGTGTTTCAAATATATATTCCTGTTGTTGCTGTGTGTCATCACGTCGATTCTGACTCATAGCAACTTTATTAGACAGAAGAGGACTGCCCCAGAGGGTTTCCACATCTGTAATCTTTACGGAAACAGACTGCCTCATATTTATCCTGTGGAGTGGCTAGTGGGCTTGAACCACACACCTTTCAGTTAGAAGCTGAGTGCTTAACCACTGTGCTACCCTGGCTCCTTAGAAAATAAGAAGTGAAAGCATTTTTTTCTGTTTGTGTTGAAAACTGACTTTTAAGGAACTGTGTTCACTGTTTCAGAGTTAGTGATTACTAGAACTCTGGTGGCATAGTGCCTAAGGCATTTGACTGCTAACCAGAAGGCTGGCAGTTCAAAGCCACCAGCAACTCCTTGGAAGGAAGGCTGGGCAATCTACTTCCATAGAGACACCGTGTCAGAAACCCAAGGAGGGGTCGCTATGAGTTGGATTCGACTTGATGGCAAACGCAACAACAACAAGTGTACTTTACGGGAATTCCAATCCCTCCAGGATGGGCCTCAGTTTCTGCTTGTGTCAGTGAGTGTATTAACTCAGAAGAGGCCTCAACTCACCAGCCACTTCCGTTTCCAACACTGACATTACCCAGCATTTTGCTTTTGTTCCAAATGTTTTATGAACTGCACTTCAGCGACCAGATGAACACAAACAGGGCACTGTTTCCTCCTTCCTCACAGTTCACTTTATTTATTTATTGGACTTTTTATAGTGGTTTGGGTGAAGGTTTACAGAGCAAATTAGTTTTCCATTCAACGATTTATACACATTTTGTTTCATGACGTTGGTTGCAATCCCCTAAGTGTAACAACACCATTCCCACTTCCTCCCTGGGTTCCCTGTTTCCACCGGTCCTTCTTTCCTGCCCCTTCTTGCCTCTGAGCTTTGTTTTCAGGCAAATGTTGCCCTTTGAGTCTTGCATGGTTGACTGAACAGAGGAGCACATTCCTCCCTGGTGATCACTTAAGAGGCCTGTGTCTCGTTTGGCCAAAAGTTGGTCCCCAGGGGTGGGTTCAGGCTTGAAGGGTATTTAAGGGCTGCAGTCTCAGGGGTTCCACAAGTCTCTATCAGACTAGTCAGTCTGGTATGTTTTATGATTTTGAATTTTGTTTTACATTTTTCACCTGCTCTGTTCAGGAGCTTTTATTATGGATCCTGATCAGAGCTGCAGTAGTGGGAGACGGGCACCATCTAATTCTTCCGGTCACAGGCTAGTGGAAGCTGTGATTCACATGGCCCATTGGACAAATTGTTTACTTGAACCTTTGATTTTCTTTGTTCTTTTCTGGATGAGGAGAGATCAGTACTTTCACCTTAGAAGGCCCCTCACCAGTTTTTAAGACCCCATTTGATACTCACCAAAGTAGGATGGAGAACATTGTCTTTGTGGACTATGCTATGCCAATTGACCTAGATGTCCTCCAAGACTGTGGTCCTATGTCCTCAAGCTCAGTGACTCAGTCCCTCAAAGTGCTTGATAGTGGCTGAGAAGTTTTCAGCACTTTGGCCCCATATGTTCTACCATATCCTTGTACTTTAGACCTTCAAGACTAAGTCAGTAAATTCCTTTGCTGGATGGATGCTTTCATTTGATTAAGACCTGTGTGTGGACATGGTGAAGGATGCTTCCTGACGCAGAATTGCGAGGGCTCGGCAAAGAGGAAGCCATCCCTGCCTCTCCCTTGTTCATCTTGTTCCACAAAGTGTCGGAGCAGAACTTGTTAGCATCTTGAGAAAGGATCTTCCCAATGAGATGTAATGCATTTTGGTTAGCTGCTGTGTTGGGAAACCCTTCCCCTTAAGGATGAGCATCAAAAATAGCACTGAGTACCCGGGAGACTCGAGAGTTCTGCCCTTTGTGGGTGTGTGATGCTGGGATGTGGATCCTGACCCTGCACACGGGTCTTGGTTTTGTTCTGTGGGGTATTTTACCAAGTGTCGGATGCTGATTTTTGCTCCGTATCATACAGGGCTGGGAAACAGTGGCACTGGTGCCCTTTTAGTCATGTCCAGACACATTCGCCTGGAACTTTAGAAGATGCATTTATGGAAGTGCAACAGCTAGGTGGCTGGTGTTGAGTGCCACTGGGTGGATTCCAACCCATAGCACCCTCCAGAGCAGAACTGCCCCGTAAGGGTTCCTAGGCTGTAATGGTTATGGGGGAGATTGTCAGGTCTCTCCCACGGAGTGACTGGTGGGTTTGAAGCGCCGACCTTTCAGTTAGCAGCTGATTACTTAACCATTGCACCGCAAGGCTCCCTACCACTGCTAGGTTGGCGGTGGCTCTTGCAGAGGCAGTAGCAACCTGTCAAGACTGAGAGATGACAAGTTTACTGTTGCTTTCACTTGAGATTGTGGGGACTCTTCTCTGGAAAGAAGTTGGTGCTGCAAAGAAACAGCTCCTGCTGCACATTTAGCTGAATCTTAAAAACCAGGCTCATTCACGGAAAATAAGAACCAGATTTTTCAATTTTGTTTTCGCCTTTAATCAAGTAGCATTCATTTTTAAAAGGGATATTTTGCATGCTGAAAGAAGGCTAAAAACCCACAGAGCACCAAAGCAAATGATCCTCCAGGCTCTTAGGATAGGAGCAGGGGGCAATTTCCAAGGATCACGTGGCCTTCCATCCCCTGGAGACACACAAAGTGCTGCCTCTCTTAACAAGGATTTTCCTCCATGGGTGAAGGCGGTGATGCGAGCGGAGTCCTAGCTGCTCCCGTTAGCTTGCATTCCTTCACGTAATTGGGTGCTCTTCCTTCCTTCCTTTTCTTTCCCCTTTTCCAAGGAGCTGATAGGAATGGGAAAGAAATACACTCATTAAAACCAGTGCGGACTCGCTCTCCCTTTTCTAAGCAAAACTTGTTTGCACCAAATCAGCCCAGGGCTGAAGAGTAACAGGCAGGTGTCCTCAGAGTGCTCACCTGGTCACCTGCTATGTTAAGTGGTGTGAGGACTGTAGGGTGGAGGGCAGGGATCTGAATTACCTGCTCCTAGCACCATGCACCATAGCCCTCTGCTAACAGGAATCCCATTAGATACTTAAAACGACAAAGAATGAACCAGAAATTTAAAAGACAACCAGAAATATCTGATTAATTCAGGCTTAACATACCATCTGTCTCCCATCAACTTTATTATGGTGAACCCAGCAACCTAGCTACACGTGAAAATTCAAAATTGAGTACAGTTGCAATTTGTTGTATTTGTTTGTTTCAAGCTTGCCTCTTCTTAGGAAGGGAAAAGAACCATCCCAAGCCAGTTTGTTTGTTTCAGTTTTTCGCCCCCTGAATCTTAAGGCTAGGCAAATGCTCTCCAGCCTCCACTTCCTGTCAGGGCAGGGTTGATATTAAAGTGCCCATCTCCTAACTTCCTAAGGTCTGCTGAGGGACGGTTTTGCACAACAATTAGGACAGGAGGCATTTCTGGAAGAATAATTAATGATTAGGGGGCCAGAGTTGATGACCTCCCACCACCGCAATGGCATTTTTCCTGGCTGGCCATTCATCAGGACTCAACAAATGATTTGACCCTAATTATTACAAGAGCCAGCTCTAGGAGGGCTTGCTCCCCACGGGCCATTTTGTTTATCACCCATTGCTCACCTGTGCGTACCTGCTTTTGGTGGCAAGTGGAACAAGGATTCATTCCGGCTGACGCTCATTAGTTTTCAAGAGGCCGATGAAATAAATCAATTGTGTAAGCCGGCCACCACACTGGCCTGTCAGGTCTTAGGGGTGTGTGTGTGTGTGTGTGTGTGTGTGTGACATACACATGACTTGGAAGCACAGCTGATAGGGTTCAGCAGCTTACGGGGGCTAGACTCAGAATTACCAAACATGCCAAGTTGTTCATCACTCAGCAGAAGAGGAACGAGTGGCCTTTTCGTCCTGCTGGCCTCCCTGTGAAACCCAGAGGAGGTGGAATTATTTCTAATTGTCTTGCAGTGCGCCCAGGTCTTTATGGCTCTAGGGAAGGGGCTCTGAGTTGAGGATAAGCGTTTGTTGGGCTGAACGGGGAAGTGCCGGCTTTCACCCCAGCATCCACTGCACAGTGTGACGGCCTCAGGGCTGTAACACACGCTCCATGTGCTGGACACTCACATCCCTCTCTGCCCATCCTGTGCTCCCCGAGCCCACAGAGGCTCCTGCTCTCCCTGCATTTGTGGCAGCAGCACACCCTCTCTTCCCGGTGATGGAGAGGGTCTCTGGCTGCTGCCTTAGTCCCTGCCGACTCCTCCCACCCTTGTCCCACTTGCGAGCCCTGCCCTTCCTCTGTGAGTTCGGTGCAGTCCAGGACAAGGGCCCGAGGGTGACAGGACGAGAGTCAGGGAACCAGGGAGCGCATTAGAGAGTAAATATGCCAACCTTTCTCCCTGCCTGCTTCCTTTCTCCTGCTAGTGCCCCCTAGTGGCTGCATAGCCCTGGAGAGGAGAACCTCAGGGGGCCCTTGGGGGTCACAAGGTGAAGGAAAAACTCTGGGAGGTTGTGGGGATGGTAGCCGCTCCGCTTAGTCCTCACAGCAGCCCAGGAGGTGGGTGCCATCTGGGTGAGAAATTGTTGCCACTGTCACAAATTGCCCAACAACCCCAACTGACTGTCTTACAGTCTGGAGGCAGAAATCCAGAATGGGTGTCCCTGGGCTAAAGTCAAGGTGTTGGCAGGGCTGGTTCTTTCTGGAGGTTCCAAGGGAGAATCAGTTCTCTTGCCTTTCCAGCTTTGAGAGGCACCCACATTGCTGGACTCGTGGCCCCTCCTTCATCTTCAAAGCCAATGTGGCATCTTCCAGTCTCTCGGACTCTGTTCTTCTGGCCCCGATCTCATTTAAAGGACCTTGTGCTTATGTTAAGCCCATCCTAACCCTCCAGTAGGAGCTCTGGTAGCATAGTGCCAAAGGCCACCAGCCATTCCTCTGAAGGAAGGTTGGGCAATCTACTTCCGTAGTGATACAGCCTCAGAAACCTAAGGAGGGGTCGCTAGGAGTCAGGATTGACTCCATGGCAGTGAGTAACCCTGCAGTGGTGTCCTTCAATTTCTGCTCATGTCAAGGTCAGGAACCTGGATTCTCCGCAGCCTTCCTCTTCTCTTGCCATCAAAGCAGATTGTCACCAGGTCTGGGGATTGGGACAGAGCCACCCTTCAAGGGGCCATTCTGCCGACCCCATAATCTTTATGTGTATCCACAGGAGGGGATTGAAGAATCCAGGATTATTAACATGCCCAGGTCACCCTTCTATCAAGTGAGGAAACAGGATTTAAACCCAGATGGGTCTGACTGCAGATCCCAGAGAGGCAGCCAGCCCTTAAGGCTAAGCTCTGAGAGCATCCGGTGAGAGTGGGTGTCTGGAAGGCATCGTCCCCCTGTGCTGCCACAGGTGTTGTCAGGGGCAGGTGGCCTCATCCTGCAAACTTCCTTGCTCCTGACCTGCAAAGAGACAGCATGAACCTGACTCGGCTCCTGTGACTCTGCGCACGTTTTAGCCATTCATGTTGGAGACAAATGCAAACTGAAAATGACATTCATTTCACCACATGGGATGTAAGACGGCCTGTGTGCAAACACAGCTGCAAGCCAGGAAAAGGTGGTTTTCCTTGCACTGTTTGTTTCCCTGCACAGGTGGCTGGGTGCTCAGCAGTCCCCGGACCCTGGGCGCCCCACCCTGGGTGGTGGAAACATTGAACTCGGCCACTCCCTGAGATGGTGGAGGTCCGAGTCCACCCGAGGCATCTCAGCAGAAAGACATGGTGATGGACTTACGAAAAATTGGGTGCTGAAAGGCCCGGGGGACGCACGCAGGCTGCCATGAGTTAGTGGACTCGGAGCCTCTACAGCCAAGGAAGGCCACTGAAAGACCCGTGGGACACATGTGGGCTGCCGTGAGTCGGGGGCCTTGGAGCCCCCTGCAGCCAAGGAGGGCTCTGAAAGGCCTATGGGATGCACACAGGCTGCTCTGATTTGGGGGCCTTGGAGCCCCCTGCAGCCAAGGAGGGCTCTGAAAGGCCCATGGAATGCATGCAGGCTGCCGTGAGTCGGGGGACTCAGAGACTCCTGTAGCCAAGAGCTCCTGGGGTGCCCTCCTCACCCCCAGCAGCCCCATCACGTGTATGCACACCTGCTGGGAGTTCATCTCTGTCCGTGCACACGGGCTGCCGTGAGTTGGGGGGACTCTGAGTCTCCTGTAGCCAAGAGCTCCCCAGGCGCACTCCCCACCCCCCAGCAGCTCCATCACATGTGTGCACACCTGCCAGGAACTCATCTCTGTCCGTGGGAGAGGCAGCAGGCAGAGGCAGAGGCATCTCAGAGGCCCTGGGGTGTCTGGGTGTGGAGTCTTGCCCTCTGCTCAGGTGCAGCCTACCATCCGGTGGTGAGCGCCTGCCCTGACGGAGTGAGCTGGGCCAGTGCTGGTCATGTTCACTGGGTGTTCTCACTGCAGGGTGCCTGTGAGGAACTGCCTCCCTGGGTCTCCCAGTCAGCCACCTGAGACATGGGTGTACGTTCCCGGTCACAGCTCGGCCCGAATGCACATCTGCCTCCCTGACAATCTGCCTCAGCATTGATCAGAACGCTTTAACCAGGCATCGAGGCCACCTTTCGGAGTGGACTGAGCGGCAGACAGAATCCCCTCCTGTCACAGGAAGGACGCCCTTTGATTCAGCGGGACCCAGGGAGCTTTGGCCAGCACCCCATCCTTGCTCCTCAGACTCTGTGACTTTTCTTAGAGGTGGGAGCGCTCTTGCTGGCAACCCCCAGGAAGACCTCATTTCAGCAGGGCACTCGTGTTTGAGCTCTGCAGTGCTGTGTAAACCCAGGACTCACGTGCCACACCTCTGTTCCACACCGGCTTGTCAGGCATCTTGGATGCATTTCCATCTTCGTGTGTTTGGGACCCTCCTCCCTCTCTCTTCCCCTCCACGCGCTCCTCCGCATTACTCTCCCCCGTGCCTCTTCCTCTCCCTTCTGCACACTCCCTTCTCTGTCTGTCTGTCTGTCTCCTCTCTCGCCTCTCCCTTCTCCCCGTCCCTCTCACTCCCTCCTGGAGGCAAGGAGGCTCAGCGTTGGGGTCAAGTTTGCCTCTCAGGGTCCCCATGGAGAGGACAGGGTGGGTGCCTGTAGAGGTCCCTGTGTACACAGGAGTGTGGGTACTTCTCAGAGTCCCCTCTGTACAGAAGAGCATGGGCACCTCTAGGGCCCCCATGGAGAGGGATGTGTGGGTGCCCTTTGGGTCCCGGGCATATTGGGAATGTGGGCACCATGGGGAGCCTCACATAGGGTGATTATAGAGATGGGAATAGGACCCCTCTATGTCTCTCCTTCCCCCCATGTCACCTCAGTTATTAACGTGGTCTTTTCTGTAGACCAGGGCTCCTCAATAGGGCCCATCCTGCCCCTGAGGAAGTCTGGCAGAGTCAGAAGATGTGTTTGTTTTTCACAACTGGGGAAGGAAAGGTCTTCCACTGGACAGAGGTCAGGGGCGCAGCTCAAACCCACAGTGCATAAGCCCTGTCCCCCCAGAGAACAGTCCTGCCCTATGTCCACAGAGCTGGCATAAGAAACCTTACTCACAGCCCCCCAAACACCACTCCAGAGCTGGCTCCCCGGCCTTGGGTGCTCAAGCCCCCGCTGTCTCCCCATCCCCAACATTGCCCAAAACAAGTTCCCTTCCAGTTCCATCTTCAGTTCTGAAAACATCTGGGACTGCCACAGAGTCTCAACCGGTTCAAAGTCTTCAGAGTGCACAAGTGATGCGCAATGTGGCCTGGGGAGAGTGCTGGGTGGCTCGTGACAGCAGCTCCACTCAGGCATCTCTCGGGGGCCTGGCTAGCAGGGGACGGCACCCCAGGCTTGTGTGGAGCCGTGGGGAGGAACCCATGGAAAAGATGCAATGTAGCTTGGCGGGCTAAGGGCTTACAGACCCGCCCCTCCCCTCCTTCTAAGTGTACTTTGAAAACAAACGTGCATTGGAGCTGTGATTCTAGACGCGGTGTGTAGGGAGACAGGCCAGGCTTTATCAACAGATCGTGTGGGCAGGGTTGGGGCATCCCAGGTGCCGGCTGAGGTGCCTTTCCTGCCGACTCTACGTTCATGTGGGCAGTGTTCTCATGACAGAGGTCCCACCAGGGGACACATTAGTTGTGTGGCCATGGGGAGGATACGGATCCAAGTGGGTGGGCTTGGGGCACCCCCGAGGGTGCTCTGTAGAGACCAGCACCCCCCCACACACACACCCAGGCCACACTGCCACAGGTGTAAGGAACAGGTGTAAGGAGGAAGCACAGAGTGAAATGTGATGGAGTGTGACGTGGGAGCCTCTGCTGCTCAGCCTTGCGGACAGAAATGGTGCTCTAGACCGTCCCAGGCTCACTTCCCCTCCTTCCCCTTGGAGACGGGACCAAACCGTTTCCACTCTAATTCCAAAAGCTCATGAAACGTTGATGGACTGGCCCCTCTAGGTAGAAGGAAGGCCCCTGAGTGCCCAAGCCATTTGGCTCTTTGAAGCAGATACGTAGTCAGGAATGCAGCGTGCGGGTCATGCCAGAGAAACTGATGGGTCCCGGAGGGGATGAGGGACAGCTAGAGTGGAGCAGGGGCAAACACTGTTGATAGCCAGCCTCTTCAGACCCAGGCCTCGCTGGCCACTCGCAGCCCTTGAACACAGGGGTCCATGGCCCTGCCTGTGGCCAGTGAGCGGCATGTCTGGGCAGGACCGGGCTCCATAGGGTTTTTCAGTGGCTGGCTTTTCTAAAGTAGATAGCCAGGCCTTTCTTCCACAGTGCCTCTCTAGTCTAGGCTTCAAACTCCCAACCTTTTTGTTAGTAGTCAAGTGCTTTAGCTGTTTGAGCCAAAAATAGGACTTATTTCAGGGGCCACTGTCCTCTGGGCCCTCTTGAAGGCCTAGCTCCCTCTAACTGGCCCCAGCCCACAGGCTCTGAAGAAACCCAGAGCCCTTCTCCTCTGCTGACCTGGAGGGGTGGAAGACTCCGGAGAGAACTGGTGGTGGGCGCTGTGTCCGCCTCTAGCAGACAGCTGTCGGCATGAGGCAGCTGAGCCCAGCCCCACCCCGTGGGACTCGCCCCTGGGGTGAGCGCTGCCACTCCAGCTGCTGTCACCCGTTTCCTTCCAGCAGACCACAGCGACGGCTCCAGTTGTGAAGACGGCGGTGAGGACCAGACCGTGAAAACCAAGAGGAACCGGTAGGTGGTGCGGCCTGTTTCTGGGCAGCTCTCCCGCCTGCTACCAGGGCTGGGGAAAGCAGGCTCACGTTGCTGGGACAGACTCTCACGAAAGGGTGCCGACAACCCCTAAGCAGATGGCAGTGGGCCCTGAGACGGGGACTGGTCTGTCCCAGTAACTAGCTGTGCCCCTCCTCTATGCGGGTGTCCTCTGGCTCAGGGCCCCTCCAACAGGGCGGTGCTTCCCGTCCCCCGCCCTCCCGTGATGAGCCAGTGAAGTGGGATGGCAGCTGGGGGTGCGGTCACGATGGGGTGAGGCCAGGGTGGGCGTGGCCGGAGGGGTGGGCGTGGCCGGAGGGGTGGGCGTGGCCGGAGGGTGGGTCAGCGGGTTGGCAGGCGTGGCTGTGGGAGGCGCGGCCAGGGTGTGTGAGTGCAGCGGGGTGGGCAGAGGTGCTGGGCCCTTTGGAATAGCGTGGTTGGGGGTCAGGCAGGTCTAGGTGTGGCTGTGGCCCTGCTGTTGCTTCCTGTGTGACTTTGGACGAAGTGGCGGGACCCTGATGTGGGTTCTGGTCTGTGAAATGGGTGCAGAGGTGCCGAGCCGCAGGCTGAGGGAGGACGCCTGCAGAACCGCCTGGGGGCTCCCCCGGGAATAGCAGCTGTGCTGTTGCCTGTAGTGGTTATGACCCCTGGCGGGAGGCCCTGCTTCTTCTTGGGCCCAGGGGCACACTCTTGCCCGTTCCTGCCCCCTTCCCTTCCTTTATTTCATAACAAACGCCTCTCACCGAGTGGGCCCCCCGTGTGATGGAGTAGAGCTGTGCCCCCCACTCTGTCCAACGGCTGCCTGTTCGGAAGTAGACCAGCAGGGCTTTCTTCCAACACACCTCTGGGTGGACTCACCCTCCAACCTTCCCGTGAGCCGCTGAGTACCTGCGCGGTCTGCAGCACCCACGGAGGCCTTGTTCCCTCGCAGTGGGGTGAAGTCAGGGGGCTTGCACCGGAGAGCGGGGGTGAAGTAGCTGTTGGGGACCCCTCCTTGGCAGAGAAGGGTGGGGTGAATCGGAAAGAGATCAGTGCGGGAAGACTGGCAGTTGCTTCCGAGCACCGTTCCTGGAGCCGCCCCTCAGCTCTGCGTCTCTGTTGACCAGGCACCTCGTCCCTGCCCTGTCCCGGCCCAGCCAGGCCCCCGGCAGCAAGGCAGGAGCAGCTGTCCCTCCCATCGAGGACGGCGGCAGCAGCGGACTTATTATTTCTTCCAAAAAGTGCCTTCAAAGACACAGCCTTACTTTTGCCATAACACAGCCTCGGCCTCCCCATCTCACCTTCCACCCCTTTACCTGTGACTTCTACATAAGGACGGTGGTGGAGGGAGAGAGGACACAAGGCAGGTGGTGTGTGGCCTGGCCACTGGGACAGTGGCTCCTCCCTCTAGATGGGCATTCAGGAGTAAGGAGTTCCCAGCATACGACCATGTGGATACCTTTGGGCTTCTTCCCGCCACACATACTCTTTCAAATCAGCTGTTCACCAGGACATGGGGCTGTGGCCATTTTCACTGATAACCAGCCAGGCACCAAATAACCTCCCAGGAACCACGCAGGGCAGGGGGAGTCTGGTCCTCCCAAGATAGGGGGCCATCCAGGTGGGAGGTGGGGGGCCCCTTTTCCCTGAAATCCTGCCTCAGGTGTCTGTGCCCTGGGTCCTGCCCTCCACCCCACTGTGCTTCCAGCCAGTGAACCACTGTGTGCTGGAGACGTAGGGTTACTTTTACTGGGTGCTGGGCTCCCTGTGGGTGGTAGAGCAAGGACCCCTGTCCAATGTCCTAGCTTCTATTTTCTCGCTCCCCCAAATCTTCTCCTTAGAAAGTCCCTTCTGAGGGTCAAAGGATACTTGTGTGGGCCACGGGAGAGAGAGGGCCATGATGGGACCATGGGTTCCAAGAAAAGGAAGAATGTCTGCTCCTTGTTTTTATGTTCAGATCATGGATATTGGCCAAGTTGGCCTCTGCTGGTCTTGTCCAAATATTCACGGACTCCCCAACCTCCTAACTGCTGTTACATGCTTTTGTGTCACAAACTCTGGTATGTGTGGTAAGAGAATGGGAACTCTATGAGGTTTCCTGAATTTAGTCCATTTAGACCTGTTCTTTTTAAGTAATATGATTTTTAACTCCTTGAAAAGCAGTATACATGTATGTATTTGTACACACACACATACATGTACACCACACAAATATGCATACTCATATACATAATATATAAACCTGGCAGCATCAAGTCCATTCTGACCCACAGCGCCTGTAGAGGACAGAGGAGAATTGCCCCAGAGGGTTTCCAAAGCTGTAATCTTTAGGGAAGCAGCCTGCCTCATCTTTCTCCCACAGAGCAGCTGGTAGGTTTGAACTACCGACCTTTTGGTTAGCAGCTTAAGCACTGTGCCACTAGGCACCAAGGCACCTTATATCACATGGCCTACACCAGCAGTAGCAGCAGACTTGTGCCATCAAGTCGGTTCCGACTCACAGCAACCCCTCCTTGGGTTTCAGAGGTGGTATCTCTATGGAAGTAGATTGCCCAGTCTTCCTTCCAAGGAGTGGCTGGTGGGTTTGAACCGCCAGCCTCTGGTCAAATGCCTTAGGCACTACACCACCAGAGCTCCTACATGCATATGTAATTTACAAAAAAATCTGTTTCCTGAGACACAAGAGAAATGGCAAGCTGCCATCGTGTACTGAATGTGGGATTGTGTAGGAGGGAACCTTGGCTGCTGTGTCTGAAGGAACTGGGACGTCTGCCCACGTCACCTAGTCTTACTCCCCTCGTTCTCCTGTGGGACTGGCCTCGGGTTCTGCACAGCTGGCTTCTGAATGATGGAAGACATTGATTTGGCTTTAATCATCTGAATGACTTCCATAATTGAAAACTAACTTTGAAACAGGCACGGGCGTTTTGCGTGAAGCAACCCCAATTTTGGCAACAGTGTGTCTCCCTCTTGCCTTCAGCACGGTGGGTCCCTGGGTGAGAAGAAAAGCCTCCCCAGCGATGCTTTGCATTCCCTCCAGGTTTGCCAGAAGTCATGTATGTTGTCGCCTATTGGCAGCTCTGCCCTGTGTGGGGATCTGGGAGGAAAATGCATGAGCCATGGCTCTGCACTGGGCTGGGGCACTTCCATCACATCCCGGGCACTCACAATGAGTGAGTTACAGAGACCAAGCCTTAGAGTTTGGATGCGTCCCCAGTGTCCAGGGACTCAAGGTTGCTCAGGGCCCCATTGGAGCCCATCTCTCTCCACAGCCCCATCTGCATGTCCCTTTGCTCGGAGCTAAGCATCCCGTGACCATGCTGACATCTTTATCTGTCTTTGGGAAGGTTATGCAAATATTCACAGACTTCCCGACTTCCTAACTCCTAACACCTACTTTTGTGTTACACACTCTGGCATGTGTGGTAAGAGAATGGAAACTCTATGGGGTTTCCTGAATTTAGTCCATTTAGACCTGTTCTTTTTGTATAAATAATATAATTTTTCCTCCTTGCAAAGCAGTTAAGATCCCCGTGATGCTCAGGACTCATCACAGCTATGTTAGGATGCTTAGGACCAAGGAGGTTGACTCGATGCTTGGGACCAAGGAAGTCAACCCATCTGGGCATCCAGTCTCCGTGCTCCCTGACTTTCTCAGGACTCAGCTCAAGCTGTAGACACTGGACATCCGTGCTGGCAACGCAAAGGCGGAATTGAATCAATTGTGCAAATAATTCAAGTCCAAATGATTCTCTTCCTAAAATAGCCTGGGAGGAGAAAGCCGACTCAGTGAGAAGCTTTCGTATTTTTCACTAAAGCATTTTCACCTACCTGGTGACTGCCATTTCAAAAAGCTTGTTATTTATCATGCCATGGAACTTGCTCATGATGCCTGGTGTTACATCTTCCCTGGGACCAGAAAATTGATTAATTGTTCCATTTCCCCTTCTTTATGCGTTGCCAGGAGTCGCTGCCAGCTTCAGACATGTCGTCTTTTTGAGAGCTCAGATTTGGTTTCCATTGTGCTCCCTATTTGAAGAACTTAGGGTTTATTTCTCATCATTGCGTTGAATTATTTCGGGGATTCAGCAAATGTGCGTCATTTGGTTTAAAATCAGAATGAAATTATCCACAAAACACATTAGAGACAAAATTGCCAGTACTGTGCATGCCTTCTCACCCCTCAGCAGCTGCCGGCTCCTGACAGGTGATGAGCCCAGGGATTCCTGATAAATTAGAGGCTTTCCATAGCATCCGAGAGTGAAATCACTCTTGTGCTTTTTCTGTTGTCATTGGCCCATTGGCACAGGAGACACGTTTACACTTCGTTGTCCTTTGGCACAGAGGCCTGGTTCTGTGGTTCCCAAGCAGAACCTCTCGGCTTGGAATATGGCTTGTCCTGGTGTTTGTAAACTTTGGGGACCCCATTTGCTGGTCTCAGGCTTTAGTTATGATGTTGGCCCCATGCTGTAAGATCTTAAGGTGGGGTGGCGCTGCACAGAACACAGAAATCGTGAGGCACAGCTTTTGCTGACGACTCAGCTGTGTGGGAGCAGCAAGGGGTGTCTACTGGAGCCATCTATCTGCCTTCCTGGGTGTGGCCTCCCTACTGTCCTCTCAGCCGACCAAGGCGGCCACAGTGCACCCAACACACTTCCCCTGGATAGGACTGGGCCCTTCTGACTTTCCGGCTACCTGGTCTCAGGGCAGGAGGGACACAGAGAAACTCTAGCCCACAGACCCACACGTGACTCAGAGGGGCCTCCAGAAGTGACAGCTATCCCTGGGCTTCTGCCCTTCACCTGGGGCCGCCAGGGCAAGCTGGGCCCTGCAGCGCAGAGGAGACCCAGTGCCATCCAACAACAACACAGCAGTATGTGGCCGGAACTTGACAAGCAGAGTGCAATGCTTGTTCGAAGCCACAGTGCCGAGTCCCGAGGCTGTGCAGTCAGCTCACGAGACCCCGCCCAACCCAGGCCTCAGGTGGACAGAGCCCACTGTGG